TGCAATTTCCAGCGACCTAGAAGTACCATAGATAGAGAATGTCGTACCTCTGGACCCACCGCTTATGAAATTGCCTTTCTGGGCCCTCACTATTTTAAATTCCTGGATCCACCACTGTTATAAATATGATCCATCAACTTATAACTCATTATATCAAAACAAATGTTATGATGCACTTTCATACAAATGCACACAATACAAATACTGCATTCTATTATAAATCACTGGAATTTATTTGAAGTAACTTCAGATGTCAATATAGTTTTACAAAAATTAAGGCATTAATACCAATGTCACACTTATAAATAAATGCTTTCACATAAAATATCTAGACTATTCGGTTGGTCAGACAATCTTTGACATACTGTATTGCATTTCAATTCAATTCAAAGTCAATTCAACGAATTTACATTACAGTACAGGTCTTAGCTTATTATTACACATTTTTGATTTAATAACCTAAACCAATAGCATGTGCACTGAGCATAATTAAAAATAGTATAAATTCTAAAAGTGAAACATAGAATGAAATGGCCGCCTGGTCAATTTGTGGAGTGAAATATTTCAAAACCTTCCTCTACAAAATCTATATAATATACACATTTTTTTTTCATTTTTAAGTATCTGCCTGTTGCTAGATGGTTCTTAAGTTCTGGTGGGTGATTAAAATTTTGGGATCCCTGCATTAATGTCTCCTTCAATTCCACACTCATTACGCCCTCTGATGATCTTGAAAAAGCCTGAGAAGATTAAAAAACATATTAGAATACAACCAATGTTCTAAATATTTTATATTTTTATTTTGTACCACTTCATTAACATAAAAAATCTACCTAGAGTAGAACCCATCCTTTGGGACACCACTATGTGGGGACGCCCATATTAATGGGACACTTTTTTGGGTGTGAATCGAGGAAAATATATACACTACGGCCACCCATCCCTATTAGGGTACACTTCTTTTGGTTCCAAAGGTGTAGCTTTAATAGGGGTTGTACTGTAATAGCAAATCTATTGAAAATTAGGGCCACAAATCTTCCCCATTGATGTATTCCTGGATATGCAAGATCTACCTGTAAAGAACTGAACACAAACGTTTACAGGTAGGTTCTACAGGTAGGCCACTACTCACATACTATTTCAGTTTGGGTAACCCTGCATTGATATCTTGCTCAATCCCACACTCATTAGTGCCGCGTACAATTTTGAAGAAGCCTGGATGAATGGAATGAATAATCATGTAAATGAAGGGTGATGCAAAGAAAGGATTATGCAAATGAAGGATCATGGTATGAAAGATTATTTGGAATGGAAAGACTGGTATTTAAAAAAATTATCTACAGCATTAGGAATTATAAATAATGTAAGTAAAGCATGCCCTTGTAATTCAATGCTGACCAAGTTAATGTTTACCTGTAACTAATTAATACAAAACAATTGTAATGCTACTAAAATGCTGATTTCCTGTTGGTTGGAATGATTTTCTATATATAGAGGGCGCTATAGATTTATTTGCAGTCGACTGTAATGAAAATATGTATACAGGATCCATACAATATGTTTTGTTGAATGTTGGTCAATGTTTGATTATTATAATATATAACTTATTATACCGTTATCACCCCAGTCAGGGTTCCAAGAGTTGGCAACCAGCCAATAGTTGACACCACCTTCTACACCCCAGCCCAGAATCCTGATAGCATGGCCACCCAACAGTTCTCCAGACTCATGTTTATATACACCTAACAATTTTTTTTTTTTTTTTTTTTTTTTTCTCATTTTCATAGTAAAAATTCTATGAATCAGCAAAAAAACCCTAAGTATATTGTTCTATATCTCATTGGCAGTTAATAAATCAGATCTTTTAAATGCTTTTAGCTCCAATGAGGAGCTCTAGGAATACCTGGCTGATTGATTAATACATATTAATTGCGCTGATTGCTTAATAGATCTTCTGGTATGGCCGGACGTTAGGGCCCATTATTTTTATTATTATTATTAGCTCCGATGGGGAGTTCTAGAAATACTCAGCTGAGACTCACTTTTTATTTTGTTACACATAAACTAGAGGTGATTTCCAACAAACGTTCATGCCCATTTTTTAAGTTGGACCCAATGATGTTCATTTATACAAATAGATCTTTTTTGTATGGGTGACCGTTATGGCCAATATACTCTACTGCCTCTATCATACTGCCCTCATATGAGCTTTCGGGAATACAGTTTAGCCTCCAATTCGAGACCACCTTTGGGACCTGAAAATTTGGGGTGGTCTCTGGGTTTTGTCTCCAATTAGAGGGTTAGCTTTATGTCCCAAATTAGAGGGGGTCTCAAACTGGAGGGTGCAGTGTATTTGAAATTTCTCTTTTTAGCATTTACATTTTGAAATGAGAAATGGCCTCATTATTGTTACCCAGCAGAATTAACCACACAAAAAACCCCTAAAAATAATCGATAATATTACAATATAAAAAAATTTTTAAGAATGGTTCAGCAATATGTTAATCTTCTATAGTATGTTATGCCAAAATGGCCTCTATATTATTACTGTGGTCATTACATCAAACACCATACCATATTTATTCAAATACAGTAAACGCCCCTCTCTAGAGCCTAATTTGGAATAAACACCTCCCTTGATTAACCGCCATGATCATGTAATAACACATTTTGACGGTAATTATGTGTTGTATTTCCACATTTACAGTGAAATTAGTTTCAATATATACGCATTCAATGCAACAAAAAAATAAATAAATAAGTAAACGCTTCCTTCCAATAAACACCCCCTCAAAACCATACTCAGAAATAAACGCCTTACGGCATTTATTCTCCCTGGGGAAGAATTCCATAATATTGCAGCTAGTAATCAACATGTCTCACTACAAGGTAGATCAAGTGTAGGTAAGTTGCCTTCCCCCAATGAAAGCAACAAAACACACAGTAAGGACTTTGAACCCCCGACCTTGAGAGCCAGACACGCAACCAATATCTCCCTCATGTATTTTTCTCGCAGGATTGTGCATTTTCAGTACCTGATTTGTAGGTTGGGAAATCTGCATAAACTGTAAAGTCAGCTTCCACTGGTCCATTTGTCATGATTTCTTGCATAATCTCCTGTACTCCAGAAACACCATAGGCCTTGGCACCTTGGAGTAAGTAATAAACACACAAGTTAAGTACCGTTATATCATTAGTACAAATATATCATTAAAAATAAACTAATGTAACACGTGAATAGATAAACTCTAAATTGTCTACAGGTAATGCTTTATCATACATATAAATTTCAAACGATAAAGAAGAGAAATCTGTGAGGGCGAAACAAATTTTCCCAACCAGAATTCAAACCCGGGACCTTCTGTTCTCTATGCAGAAAATAAAATATGTTACATCCAAAATAGACCTTAAAAACAAGTTAAAATTGGAAATTAATTGAAATTAGAAACACAACTATAAAAAAAAATGACCATTCATGATATTAAAACAATTTTATTAATAAATAAATACAATATGTACTGACATCACAATATAATCAATACAAATTTTAGATTTAAGTGAAATAGGTGAATTTAGGTAGTAGTTTAAGCATACCAAATTTCTTATCATCCAAATACTTCACATCATAACCATCTTCGCAAGTGTTTTTGCACTTTGGTGTTGGTAGGGTGTCCCCGCATGGCTGAAGCTTTCCAACAACGTGATGGTCACATGATGGTATTTCATATGGCTGACAACCTTGGTTGGAGTTGTAATTACCGCCGGTCACCAGGCCCTTTTTTGTCCAATAATTCCAGGCCTCAGGGGGAAAACCTCCATTGCATCTGTATGTATTACGAATGTCAAATTATTACAATTGGCGATTGGCTGGTTAAATTCATCTTTGTTGTAATCATTAGTGTCACCTTCATTTATAACATTATTACACCATCATCATTGGTAATCAACACTGGGACATGTTATCACCATCATCATTATTATCATCCACATTATTTTATCATTATATTTCTTGAAGGTTTACATTTCAATTAACAATAACTAAATATCCCGATGGTGTTTAATAACTAATTAATTAAACTTTGAGGTAATCAACCAGTGGTTTTACCTCAAAAACCATATTCTTACACCAAGATCAATAATTTTTGCATTAATATATTGTAATCATTATTTTCCAATTAATTATCAGC